CGTATCCCAGAGGCTGTCGTGTGATTTCATTAAAGTGTGGCTCCCGTATCGCGCCACTTTTATGCGCAGTCGCCGTCGGCATTATGCGTGCGAGATATTGCAAATCCTGGGGAGGGAATGAAGGGAGTATGGAGGAGAGTCCTCGTGGACGAGTAGGAGCTCTCGAGCGGCAAAGGACGGAATGCAGCGAAATCCGAATAAGCAGCGAACGCGCGATTATCCGCGACTGCGAACACGCAACAATAAAACTCGCCAATTGTCGTTTTCCTTATCGCGTACTCGCGCCCTTGGGATAAGAATCGCCGATGCCGGGGCTTTTGTTCGCCGGCGGCGCAACACTTATATTTCCGGTACTCGGCCGATAGCCAAGGTAAAGCGCGCGAGTCTCGCGCGAGATGAGGGCACGCGATATTGGTAGGTAGGCGGATGGTCGGGTGGGGATGGAGGGTCGGAGGGATAATGGGAGGGAGGGGAGGTGGAGCCCTTGCGGAGAATCGCGAAATAGACGCAAATAGAACGGCCCGGCCCGTAGAGTCCATTAGCAGGGAACAAGCCTCTAATAAGCCATACGAATGAATCATCGGGGTTTTAAATAATTCGCGTTTCGGCGCGCTCGCGCCACCACAACTTTTCTCGCAAAACAAGCGCGCGGGCAAGTGGGAGCTGCTAATAAAGGTCTAAAATTATACCTGGCATTCGATCCCCGGCCTCGCACTTTGTCGCCAGCCTAAATGCAGACATTTGCTGGGCAAGAGCCGAGGCGTCGCTGATGATCTCGCGGGTGATCCTCCGGGGATGCGATCGAACACTCGTATTACCTATGGTTGTGGTCGAGGCGGTCTCGGTCATTGGGAGAGGCGCGTCATTTTTAGCGCACCCTGCGCTAAGATCATAGGGCCCCGGGTGATTCATGTCCCACCCTCGTACTGCCTTTGCCATGCGGGCCCCTCTCCACGTGCGCCCGTTGCACTTTTTCCATTGCGTAACGCTCGCAGTAACTGTCTTTCCCTCTCCTCTGGCCGCCGTCACTACGACCACTCGTTGTGCGCACTCGCTTTGTTTTATTTATTTATTGCGCGTGGGTGAATCAATTGAGCGGCTCGGGCGCGCGACGTCATAAAGATCGGCGATATCGGCGCGGGGAGTGTAGGTTCATGGAGCCGACAAGGATGGCGACCGGGTGGAAGGAAGGTGCATCCGTTACCCGCCACGGCGAATTACCGTCGATTAAGATACGCGCCTCCAGTGCGCGTCTCCCTCCATCCCTCCCCTCCCTCTTTCTCGCGCGTTCACTCACTCTCTCTCTCTCTCTCTCTCTCTCTCTCTCTCTCTCTCTCTCTTTGACTCTGCCTGTCTCCCTATCTCCCACCTCCCCATATCCCTCTCACTCGCTCATTCGTCTCTTTATTCACTCGCGCTCATTCGCGCTCACACACACGCGCACACACACACACACGCGCGCGCGCGCACACACACACACACACACACACACACACACACTCTCCCCCATCACCCATCACCCACCTCCCACCGCCCGCCTCCCATCGCCCACCTCCCACCTCCCCCTATCCCTCTCGCACGAGCATGGCAGTCGCCGCACGGCCGAGCCACCGTACAATGCGCCCCAGTCATCTTTGTTCCACACTCGACTCGTCCGTGCGCGCGCACGTGTGCATGTGCAAAATACCTCGAGCCCGTATGCGAGAGGCGGATTTTCTTTGTTTCGGTGGATGCATAGTAAATTAGTCGCGGTCTTTTCCTAGTGCGGCAATTATCGCGAGCGCGCGCTTAACTAGATTCATAAAATTTTCACTACGTTTACGCCTCATTTATTGGGCACAATGTGTATGTTCATTACTTTCATAGAAGCCACTTTATACTCCCCCCCCCCCCCCCATTAGCTTCATTTTTGCCGCACGATTAAGTTATTTTTGCAAAGCTATTAGCTCATCTTATCTAAGTGCAAAACTACTAATCGTAATGTGCACTATGAATTTTTATTATTTAAAGGACTATTCATTATGGAATAAGTTTATATTTATTTGTACGGTGTAAGTAAGAGGAAGGAGTGCACGAGTTGTGATATAACGCTATGATACAACGATAAATTGTATTTCAATGTTCGCTTCCGTGACCGGACATTGCCCTTATTGATTTTCCCAATTAATTCGCCGCTCTCAAATTTCTTTCAACTCAACATCCTCGACCTTACGATCTATCCTTAGCAATTATTTTTCGCAAAACCGTACTGGCTGTCACGCCTCTATTTCTTTCGTATATTTAAATCTTTGTGAATAAGCAGTTTCTTAATAATACTCAAATCGAATTTAATTGGATTTCCACGATAGAAGAAGTTTAATTAAGTTTACTTAAGATCTAGATGTATAAAATTCTCTCATCGCGTGCAATCATTGTTGTTTACGCTGCAATTGATAATCACCGAGTTAAAAGTCTTTGAACGATTATATTATGCAAAAAAGACCCATTAATGCAATAAATTACTCGATATAATCTGGATCAACTATTTTACGCGCAAAAGCTTCTTTTGCGAATGTTTTTCAAATTATTTGACGCATTTTGCCGGATTCACCTTAAAAGAAAAATGAAAAGATGAAAAAACGATTGTTGAGACATGACGGCAATGAGCGCTGATTTTCAATTCTACAAGATCAAAGCATGAAATGTACGATTCCTCGACTCTATCATTCTTCTTGTTCTTCGTCTGCTTCTTCTTCATACTATTATTATTATTATTATTATTATTATTATTATTGTTGTCGTTGTTATTATTAGCGATGTTATTTTTATAATTGTTATTATTGTTATTAGTATTACTATTGTTGTTGCTACTCACTCACTCCTTGTCGTTGTTGCTATTGCTGATGCCGACTTTATTATTATTATTGTTATTATTATTGTTGTTATTATTATTATTATTTCGCGCAATAATAAAAGGGTGGAAGCCCGCGTGGTACCTAATAAACAAAAACCGACTGCATTTGCATGCTTGACCAATGCGGAGTGAGCGGAGTCGAAAACGCGTCATGATTTTAAGAGTCGATATGGAAAGATTGACTTAAACATGTATTAAACATTCACTGAACACTCGAGCGTGTTCCAACACGAATCGAGCAAACTTTTTCTCGCGCAAACAATAGCGCCCCGCATGCACAAAGCAAGCAAAAGGACAGTCGACGAGGACTAAGCTGTACGCATGCGCGATCGTGAACACTAGGCGTAATTACTTCAAGGTTACGCCTCGTACTCGTCTTTTTCCTCTCTTTTTCCTCTTTTTTTCCTTTTTTCTTAACTTGTTCAAGCCGAGCAGCAGCACTCGCGGCTGTAATTAATTTAAGCAAGCGTAAGCGCATCACGCGTTATGGTAATTGGTAAGAACCAGAAAGAAGAAACGATGAAAAAGGATAAACAACAAGCTAACGCTCGCCGGCTAATGTCACTGCTATTTGTATTTTCTAATTCCCGCGCGTTTGATTGCCCGTAATGGACTCATCTTCGTATAAGCGCCCATTCAATCGCAATACCAGCATTTACAAACTCATATCCCTCCCCCGCCCATCTTTATCCTCCCTCTCCCGCCCGCCTCGTCGTCATTATTCCATCAAGCAAGATTTTCACGATAAATTCAATACTCGCCACGCTCAATCACCGCAACATTATTATCCTCCTTTCTTATGCTCATCATTTTTCATCTCGGCCGTTAAACGTATCGTTAGTCCTGTTGCTCGCTCCTTCCGCGCCGTACTTGCATCGACAGCGGGCAAAATAAACATCTCTGGCTAATTCAAGCGTACGCGCGACTCAGTATGGACGAGATAAAGCAAATCGAGGATACTTAACACGCGTTGCCCGAGTCGCTTTAGTCCTACAAAATATATCGCGCACTTGCATCTCCCTCATCTCCTCCCCCCACCACACGACGGCCTTATTATATTATAAATATACAGACGTTCGTCCAGGTCGAATACTTGCCGCTATCCCTTCAGCCTGCAACACACGCAATCGGTAAATACGCTCACTGCAAGGAGACGAACAGTAGTGCACGCGCCATTGATAAACGTGTAATCATCGCGGTCAGACGCGCGGTCTAGCATGGCTAAGCAGATAAGACGCATTGCGCGGGCTCTTATCTGGTGAGCGCTACTGCCAACTACATAGAGGCTCCTCTGTGCGCGAAGAAATTGAAAGAGAGAGCGAGAGAGAGAAGGAGGAGGAGGAGGAGGAGTAGGGGGAATGATTGATGGATTGCTACATCGGTACGGCCATCCCTGTCTTTCGTCCCCTCCTTCTCGAGTCCTCGAGAGATTGACCGTACCTGCGGCTATTTTCTCGCGTTATGTGGCGGGTGCAATGCCGCTACGCAATACCAGAAGCCTGGATATTACAAGTGGCAATATAATGCAAATCTCAAGAATTTTGTTAACGTCACACGTATCGCGTCCCGGCGGAAGCTCGTTAATAGGCCCCGGCTGCAAGCGCGAGCACGCTGCGAGGTTAAACGTATGCAGCGCACGCATGCGCGAGCATTTGCAATGTTCTTTAGGGATTGGGGTAGAGTATTGGGGGTGGTGGGGAGAGTCGGAGATCAGGTCGGTCGAATAGATAACGAATGTGTTTTGAATAACGCATTCTTAGAACGGGCTATTTTCCCCGTGGAGCTCTTTCCTTTTCGCGCCCATATAGATCGACTCGATCGGTGGTTTAATGGACGACCCACCACCTTAGCGTCGATCCGTCAATTTGATCTGTTATCCAAGTTACCTGGCACCGGTTGATGGGCTAGGTTACCCGATCCTACCCGTAATCCTCGGACTCGCCCCGACGACGATCCAACGCAAGTCGCTCATCAACGACCCCGGCGGCGAGGAAGGAGTCAATGATAGTCGAGCGCCGAGGTCGAACGATGCCGAGGATTAACGAAGGAGTCGGGGATCCGTCGTCGAGGAGTAAGGTCTCATTATGGATGCGTTCTCTGTTCTCAGATCGACTGCCACGACGAGCGGGTGACCTGTCGGGCACGCGAGACCAGCCGATGCTTCTCGTGGACTCGGATCTGTCGCGGCTGCCCCTCCCCGACCTCGTGCTCTCGGCAGTCGAACAGCTGCCTCGGGCGCCGCCCCAGGTGACGGTCTCGGCCCCGAGCAGCCCAACCCGTGACGCCGCCTTCCAGTTCCCGGAGTGCAGTGGCCTAGGAGCAGGCAGCGGTGGCCCCGTGGCCGTGGCCCTCGCCATGTCCGCGGCCCCGGTGCCCAGCCCCCGGCCGAAACCCCGCCGGCGCCGGCTCACCTCCGAAGGCTCGCTGCCGGAGAAGGGCCAGGCCCAGCGGCTGGACTGCTGCCCAGGCCACGGGCCCTGCTGCGCTCACCATATCGCCGCAAGCCTTGACGAGCGAGAGTGGGCGACGGTCGGTGCCAATCTCAGGAACATCGCCGACGACTTCCACGCATCTAAGACTAAGGTGAGAATAATAATACAAACCGGTAAACCCATAGCAATTTTGTTGGGATTCCCTTACTCTTATTATGGGAAAATGTGGCATAAGGTGGAGGGGTAGAGGCACTTTGTTTTCATTCGTGGTCTCAATTGTCCCATGAATTGTTTACGAAATTTGGTAGTGCTCATAGAGTGCGGAATGGTGGGTGGTGTGATGTGATGTTTGGGGGGGGGGGGGCGTAACCGCCGTAGTCCCGGCCGTCGGCTTCTTATTCGTACGGAGCTTTTAACGGAGCTGCCGAGGCCCTTTGCGATTATCGCGCGCCCGTCTTAGCTGGCAATTCCCGGCTCTCCTTCCGTTCCGGCCGCTCGTCAATAGCCTCGCGGACGTCCTTGTTAGCGCCGGCGCCGCTGCTCGTTGTCGACGACGGCCGAGAACAAAGTACAATTGCCGTAAGAATTGTACGTGCAACTACGCGAGTCTCGCGTGTCTCCTTCCCGGCATCGTCTTACCCGTCTCGGTCTCGGCTTCCATTTCGCGCAGATGGCTCAATTCGGATTTTCCTAATGGCCGTCGCTCTTTATTTGTTTCCTGAATGCCGCTCGGGGAATTATGTGCGCTCGTTTCCTCAAACGAGCGGACTTACAAAATATAGACCACGAGTTGTAACCGCTTTATAACAATGTAATTTCGAATACGTTAAGTGAAATTGGAAATCTCGCTAGCGAGAAAAATTCAGCTCGGCCGGCAATTTGTTACTCCGTGAGGAGTGGCGCAATGGCGGGAGGGGGGTGGTGGTGGTGGTGGTGGTGGTGAGAAGAGGCTCCGGTACAAATAGCGCCTCTTTCGTTGTCGGAGTTCATCAATTAAATTCAGCCTTCTCTGTCTCGCCCAGTGCCTATAAAATAAGGCGAATACCGTGGGGTGTAAGCCGAACGTAAGAAAAGGGAATAATGGATCATATGGCTGTGTGGGTGGGTGGATGGAAAGAGGGGGTCAAGTATCTCACTTTATCAGCGAATCTGTGGAAATTACTAGGGAACGATCTATCTTTCTCCGTCGTGCTTCATCGCGGCGACCCGCTCGGCGGACGGGTGGTAGAGGGTAGAGGGTCGGGTGCGTTGGGGGGTGCAGACATTTCTTCAATTTCACGGCTGTCTTCTTTCCCTTCGATTACCAGCACTTAACCAGTAATAATTAGACTCTCAAGGATTGGATCGTCCTCGCGACGTTCTTTTTCCTATCCACTCCCCATCCCCTCCCCCTCCACATCCCGCGCATATTTACAAGCGCATAAAGACGGGAGAAAGAAGAGGACGATCGACCCCGCAGGGGCCAAGATTAAAAGAGATAAAAGTGCAAGACGAGCAAAACTGTCTTCTCGTCGCTATGTCTTCGTCGCTCTTCTCTCTCTCTCTCTCTCTCCCTCCCTCTTATTAAACAATCGCGCCGAAGGAACGTCGGAAAAATATTTTGGAATGGGAAGTAAATGCGACGCGAGCCACAATCGATTCTCCATCTCCTCGAAAATTCGCTGTAAAGTGGATGGCCCAATAGACGCGGAAACAAAACACCCGGGATCGATAACTCCTCGGAATTCAGCGGATGTTGCAACGGGGTTGATGGCTGGACAAGTCCACCCTCGGGCTCGCTTCTCATCCCTATCCCCTTCGGCTGTCCGCTGTAGCGGTCGCATCCGAACCACGGCCGTAGCCAGACGTCTTGCCGATATTTAGAGGACCCCGGGGAACGCGCACCGGCAGTGCTTCGGGGCGCGTAAGAGGCCTTGGCGAGGGGTCGCGTTGGGTTGGGGTTGAGGATAGAGGGGAGGAGCGGAGAGAAGCGGATAGAAGCGTACACGTTCATTGGTGTGGCTTCGAGAGCATCAGCTGCAGGAGCCAAGAGCCCTGGCACTTGTGTCGCTCAAGTCGCACGCGGCTCGGCTAACCTCTACCTCGTCCTTTCACATGCCACGGGTGGAGGAGGTTACACAGGGGCTTATTGCGCCAGGGCGCATTAAGGGAAATTTAGCGAGGCGAAGGCGTCTGGAGCTACGGACGGCAGAATAAGGAACATAGGGAATAAGCGGAAATAAGCGACGCGGATAGACGCCATTGGCACTGAGCCTTTCGCTAAGTGCAAACGAAGCCCCTCATTGACCGGGATCCACATTTTTGTAATCAATTGGTTTTTCTTAATCCGGTCTCCCGTCGTTACGAGAGCACGTCGCCATTATTATGGCTAATCGCCGACGTCTAACGCAAATGTAAATGCAACTCGAAGGTAATTATCTTATTTCGATCGTAAAATGCTTGGTGAAACGATTTTCAGGAGAAGCCATCCGCGACTAGCCATTAATATACCGACGAGCACGTTAGTTGTTGCCCCTACTCCTACTGCAGTCCTCATACATTTTTGGAAAAAAAGATGAAAGCCAGGATCATTAACGGTAATAGTAAAAGCCTGCGTGGCGACTCTTTGTTTGGTAGTCGCATTATCTGCCTCTTGGAATTAATCTATAATTTTTATGTATCTCACTTTGTATACGCATTGGTCCCGAAGTAACGAAGAGTTCTCTTTAATGCAGACGTATCGAGTTAATAATGACGTCGTAGTCTCGATAAGGTCTAACCGACCGTTAGCGTCGATGCTTTTATCTTATTGTACATTTGCAAGCGGACAACGAACAACGAAACGACGCTGCCTTTTTTTGAAACGTCGAACACTTGGTCCGTTATGGCGCAACACTTAGGCACCGTTATAAACGAGACGTTTTTTTATTAAAAAATCATCGGACGAGCGTAGATCGGATGGTATATTTCTGGTAAAAGCAGAATATGACAATGGCAGGAACAATGGCAGTTGGCGATTGGTGAAATCAATCAACCTTCATTACTACGGCGGCATTTCAATTGCAGTGTCGCCGATCTTTCACGCCCGAGTACTCTTCCGTCATTTTTGCCATTTCCACTTTTCATTACAATGGCGCCACCTACGGATTAAACATAATGCATCATCGTGTGATCGGGCCGTTTCCATTAGCGGTCCAAGTATACGCTAGAGCAATTTTAGCGCACAATGGCTTTCAGCTTGTCGTTATGCTGTTATTGTCGTTGTTATTGTTGTTCTTGATGCTGCTACTAGTTAAGTTGTCGCTGTCGCTGTCGCTGTTGTCGTCGTCGTTGTTGTCGTTGTTGTTGTTGTTGTTGTTGTTGCTGTTGTTGTTGTTGCTGTTGTCGTTGTCGTGGCAGCATTATGGCGTAAAATGGTTTCTACGGTCGAATGGTCAGGGAGATAGGCTTTACGATTTGTTTTCTATTATCACGCAGCGGGCACTTGTACTTTTTCCTTCTTTCGCTGTAATGGATACTTGGAATATTATCGACTTACTTTTGGAAAAGTGGTCAAGAGTAGCGCGATAAAAAGCGGCGGAAGCCGGATTCGTGGATCTCACGTCGTTTCCGCGTTGCTAGTTCATAGTCGTCTAATGATCCTCGTTAAAGCTGAAAATCCATTTGCACAAACTAGCATAAATTATTGTCCCTGTAAATGCCGTGGGTTGATATGGTCGTCGGCTCGGCCGTATCCTTACGGAGAAAATTGTGTAAAGACGAACATTGTACGCATTTCTCCGTAAAGGACGTCGTAAAAACTTTCTAAGCAATCATTCGACCAGCGATCGATATTGGAACATCGGGATCCGGTTAGTGAATTTCAAAATAGCGTCGGGGGCAGTGGCGCTCGGCCGTAAACGTTTAGCGACTTCGTTCCGTTTTACCTTCAAAGTAAAGCAATTAGCCCTTGTCTTTCTGTTCCCAATATCGCGTGATATCGCTCCTTTCCCCTTACTCTTTCTCTTTCTCTTTCTCTCTCTCTCTCTCTCTCTCTCTCTCTCTCTCCTATACTCGCCAATCTCTTGTCCACGCTCGTTCTACCGATTATTTCTTGATCTCGCTCCCGCGCAATGTTTTATCGCAGTTCGAATCGGCTCGCGGTGCCACCATACTCTCCGCTTCTCTTCACTCGACCGGCCAACTGGAATCCGTGGAACTTGAGCGAGACAGCGCCCGCACAAGAGTGTGAGAGAGTGAGGGAGGGGGCTGGGGAAGAGTATGACGGAATGATAATATCTCGGTAGACGGTCGGCCGCGCATACTTGGGAGGCGGGAGCGAAAGTTTGTCTACGAAATCTCATCGCGATTAGCGCCGCGGATTCACGTGTCACAGAGCTGGACGCGCTCGTGGAGGCGAGGAAGGAAGGACGAACGAGCGAAGATTAATGGAACGAAACGGAGTTTGCACGTAGAAGTTTACGGCGAGCTGGTGTAATGGGGGGAGGAGGGGGGGGGGGGCTGGATTTAATGCTCGCCCGTTAACCATTGGGAGTGAGAGAACGCCTTGCGATAATGGCCATCTACGCTGTTGATTTTCGAAGGCGTCGAGGGGCCTAGGGAATAACGAGAAGATACGAAAGCCGTTAGAGTCGCGAGCGGCCGTAACGAGTTCTTCTTGAATACGAAAGGACGTTCGATGAAATCACGGCCTGACGCCTTAATCCGCGGCTTCCCAACTATTCATCAGGATCGCTGTTTACGTTTACGGGCGAGTCGCCCAATGGGGACGTGTTGGAGACGATAGTCATCGAACGTGTGTATTGGTGTTGCGTTGCGCGACGGCGTTTAACGTGCGCGGCGCGCGATCATTTTTACGGTATTGGAAAGGCGACAAGACAATCGGCGGAAAAGGATTGGACCGTAAATCACGCGCGCATAATGACGCCCGAAGACGAAAGTTTGTTTTCGCTGCTGAGCGCGTCCCCGCACCAGCAAAAGTCAAACGCGAATAGCCTCCTCCTCCTCCTTTCCTCCCGCCTCCCTCAACCCGGCTTTACTGGCTGCGCTAGTGTATTTTGGTCTCGTTGAAAAAAATCTGGCGAAAGTGCGCGCCCGAGAAGTACGCGGGACGACTCTGGCGTAGAGCGAGCGTGCTAGTGAGCGGCGTGGTGGGAGGGTGCGGCGAGGCGGTGGCGGGAGGGGGAGGGAAGGG